CCCCCCCCCCCATGACCACTCTCCTGTGTTCTTTGTGGCGTTCACACGTGTGCATCCCCAGACACTGTTCGCTCTTGCCCACTTAACAAAAACGGTAAATGTCTTTTCAGCTCCTTTAACCTACAGATTTCCTCCCCATCTCTTTCCAGCTTCTGTTGAACCCAGGCTATTGAGTGGTAGAGTTTCTCAGCCTGGGTTTTGATGACTGCATGCTATGGTGTTAAGCATGCTCCCGGCTCACTCCTCCGTGTCCTCTACAAATCAGCAGCTCAAGCATGCTCAGGTTGGCTCCTTTTGGCAAAGGATGAAAGCAGGCTGTGCTCTTTGCTCAGGAGGCACGCCGGCTGAGGTTTGTTCCTTTAAAAAAAAAAAAGTTTATTTACAGAGAGCAAGCAGGGGAGGGGCAGAGAGAAAGGGAGAGAGAGAATCCCAAGCAGACTCCTCATTGCCAGCATGGAGCCCGATGCGGGGCTCGAACCCACAAACTGTGAGATCATGACCTGAGCCGAAACCAAGAGTCGAACACAACCGACTGAGCCACCCAGGCGCCCCTACTCCTTTCTCATAGTAGTTGACGCTCAGTGCCTGTATCCATTAATTCATCAGAGGATTGCAAACTGGTAAAATTCTATCATTTTCTTCTCCTTTATTAGCTGCAATAACTTCTCTGCTATGTATTTGTGTTTGAATTGGTTCCCTCTCCCCCTCAAAAGGTGACCCAGTAAACTTTCTAAATATTTTGAACTCATGGATGTAAACACATCTAATGGGTTTCAATCCGCTGTACTCTGTTGAAGCTGGGGCAGTCGGGTCCCCCCTCAAGCCTGTGTGCCCCTCGAGCTCAGTGGAGAGCACATCCCTCCACCGCTGCGTGCAAGCCGGGAATCCAGAGGCCCACCTAGGACCCTTCCTCTCCCTCACACCGTCCAGCGCATCCTGCTTGCCGCTGCCTCCTCAATGCTTCTCAGGTTTAACCTGCCCGTCCCAACCCCCTCCCAGTCCAGACCTCACCTCTGCCCTAGGTTCCTGCGGCCGGCTTCTGTAGACCCCCTGCCTCCTGCCTGGCCCCCTTCCAGTGCCGCTACAGGAGAGTGGAAACTTCCCACACTCCTTGTGTGCCAACCAGGATTACTAGGGCTGGGCCCCGCTCCATCTCGCACTTCCCCTGGCCTCAGGCCACCTTGAAATGACCGGTTACCCTGCATACAGCATTCTTCGGTTTCGTTTTTTTCTGAGGTTTTTAATTTTCTTATCTTTGTCAAGAACTGTCTGGGTTGGGTCACCTCGGTCTGACTTCAGCTCAGGTCATGATCTCACAGTTGGTAGGTTCGCGCCCCACATCAGGCTCTCTGGTGTTAGCACAGAGCCTGCTTCAGATCCTCTATCCCCCTCTCTCTGCTCCTGCCCTGCTCACGTTCTCTCTCGCTCTCAAAAATAAATAAAATACAGGGGCGCCTGGGTGGCTCCACGGTCACGGTTAGCGCATCCCCGACTTCAGCTCAGATCCTGCGATCTTTCGCTTGATCCGGTCGCGTGAGTTCGAGCCCTGCGGCGGGAGACTCTGGGCTGATGGCTCAGAGCCTGAGCCTCTCTTTCGATTCTCTGTGTCTCCTCTCTCTCTGCCCCTCCCGTTCATTGCTCTGTCTCTGTCTCAAAAATAAATAAAACGTTAAAAAAATTTTTTAAATAAATAAATAAATAAAATACATTAAAAGGAAAAAGAACTGTGGGTCTGAGAATTTACCCCACTTGCAAGCTAACAAGGTCACTTGCCGCAGTTTCATAGGTGCTGGCAGAAGATAGGAGACCC